TCGGATGTCTCCCTTGCCAACGATCTTCAAGGTTTCATCATTTGCTAGGTGTACCTTTCCGAAATCACCACTGACATAGTTCTCCATGATTTCTCGACATGGGGTGGAATGGAAGGATGCCCCTGAATCAAGAATCCATGATTCAATCAGACTGTTGACGCTTAGAATCATAAGATCACCTCCTTCCTCGGTCACGTTGGCAGACTCCTGTGCGTCGGTAGTTTTTTTTGGTGCCCGGCACTCCCTCTTGAAATGAACATTCTTACCACAATTGTAGCACTTAAAATCTTTCTTTCTTGATCTAGATTTGCTCCTTCTAGATTTTGATCTGCCGTGATTTGAACTTCTTTCTGAAGTTCCTCCCCTAGACTCCGTATGTAAAGCTGAGGAGGTTGAAGCTTCACCCGATTCTCTCCGTCGGATCTCTTCACTGAGAACCAAATCACGAACGTTATTGAACTTCAACTTGTTGCTTCCCGATGAGCTACTCATATTCATAACTGTAGCGTTCCAACTTTCTGATAGGGAAGACAAAAGAATCAACGCTCGAACTTCCTCATCAAACTCAATCCCAATTGAACTCAACTGGGTTGTAACTATGTTGAGTTCATTAAGATGTTGAGCTACCGATACGCCTTCTGTCATTCGCAAATTGAACAGTCGTCTCATCAAGTGAACTTTGTTTGAGGCAGATGGCTTCTCATACATGCTGTAGAGAGCTGCCATAAGACCCGACGTGGTCTTTTCCTTTTCTATGTTGAAGGTAACGTTACGGGATAATGTCAATCGGATAAGTCCAAGGGCTTGTCTGTTGAGAAGAGCCCATTCTTCATCCTTCATGTTATCTGGCTTATTTCCTGAGAGAGGTTGATATAGTTTCTTCTGGTATAGATAATCTTCGATCTGTATCTTCCAAAAGCCGAAGTTCGCACCATCGAACTTCTTAGTTTTCACCTTCCCTTCGTCTGCAACCATCGCTCCCACTCGAATCTGACTTCCTCTGGATTGTTTCTGACAATTTCTGCGAACCACCGTGCATTAAGACACATCTGCCAACAAGTCAGTACCGTCGGCAAAATTTCATTATTCATGTGAATAGTAATCCCACAAAAAATTGATAGATTTCACAACTGAAGCTCCGATGCCAGTTGTTGGGGAACTACACAAATTCCCTTATAACCAGATTACGAGAAAGCGAAATAAATGCACAAATAAGAGGACACGTAAGATTTACGTGGTTCGACACAAAATTACCTACGTCCACGGGCTGCTGCAGATCTTTCACTAAGGGGAGAAAATTTATAAACACTCTCACAAATACTCACAACCCAATCTCAACTCTGAAAATTACTCACAATTTTCTCTCACAATGTCTTCTCTCTAAGCCTTTCTTTTCTCTCTCTTATTCTTCTATAAGAGGAGTTGTTTCTGGGATAATTTTTTTCTTAAGATTTTGGGGCTTATTTATAGTGTTTTTGAAAACACTATGCACTAATATTTTATTAGTGGTGGGCCTGCCCATGGTGGGACCCGCGGTGGGACCCGCCCACCTTTTCTTCTTTTCAAACTTCTTTCAGTGGCTTGATTTCATTTTTTCAACAAACACCAGCCACCCATTATTTCTTTGTCAACTTTGGCGGCCCCCCATTCCATTGTGTGCTTTCGTCAAAGAAAGTAGCCTGGGCTTTCGGTGACAGGAATTTTTGACCAACATAGATTTGAGTAATCATATCCGTATCCGTTATACAGTTACGAATATTTCCTCGGATACGGATACGGTTTAGTACCCCTATGTAAAAGATATATAATCTCACGTGCCTATGACAGAGTAGCCTGGCGCTTTTGGTTGAGCTCACCCGCACGTACCTATGACAGAGTCAAACTATGCTGTGAAAGAGGATGATTTCAGATACTGGATGTATAACAACTGGATATTTTGAATTGTGTTCTAGTGAACGGAGGAGAGCCTACATCAGGGCTGTGTGCAACGGCAGAAGGCACCCCATAGGCGTAAACAGCGCAATAACCTCAAAGAGATCCGCTTATTTTGCATGCCAGATGAGGATCTGCAGGCTACGGGGAAACGGTGGGAAATATCATTTGAAAGGGAATCTCATTCCAATAATAAGATTTTATGATAACCGCAATCAGGGTTATGAAGAACATTAGCAGACAACCTGGTGAGTCTAAATTCCTAGCCTTCTTCCCTGCATTTTTTTAGCGGCTATCTTATGTTGCCATAAGTCACAATATGCAATTGATCAACTAGAAGCTTAAACTATTCAGTTGCATGAACCTTAAGTTTTCACCATAAGCTCAAAAGCGCATGCTTATTTATTTACCTTCTACAAATTAAAAAAATAGATAAAATAACGTGCGTGCCGTTTTTGACAAGTTTTTTTTTTAAAATAATTCATCAACGTAATATACTGGAAAATAGAAAAGATAAATCCACTGATGAAAGCATCCTAGTGGGACAGTGTTGCTTAACATCCTAATTACTTCCTTCTACGATCCGAACTAATAACTAAAAAGAATTGTTACTGGAAACATCTCAGTATCTAGAGGTAGGAGGTAGTGTATGGGTGATAGCTCTAGAAAGAGGTCAATGGTAATAGGCAAAACAACTATGACATGTAAATTTGGTGTATTCTCAGGTAGAACAACATCATCCAAAAGGACATGCGAAATTTGCCACTGCCTGAAAACATCTTTAAGCCAGAGTTCAAATGAATGTGTCAAAAATGACAACATCACCTTCACTTTGACTTGTGAATTAAAATGTGCACTTGTGCACGCATGTATTCATATCCTTAACATCACTTCTTTGTATATGGTTGCTTCAGTGGTCAACCCCACAACTATTAAGCCCATGGTTTCGGGATGAGTCCCGAATTTGGGCTCGTAGCGCTAAATAAAAACCTCATAGAGGCATATTAAGTCCTGTTTAGATGACTTACGTAATCTCCGACATATATAGGATGTCCAATAACTAACTCAACTAATTCTCCATGCATACTAGCAGGCTTGTTAAGAATTTGTCAATTGGAAATTCCATAAAGAGTGCAATCTTTCAAAACTAAAATCAGGATGTATGTTCCAATGTTAAAAATAACGATAACCTATGTTGCATGGGTAAGGATACTGATACCCTTACAAGTACGGGACACAACAAATTTGTAAAAGGTAGGGTACGAGGACACAGCTATATAAACATATACATACACAAATAATACATATTGGAATTAATAATTTACATTAGATCAATATTGTTTTCATCCACTTGTTATGATGATTTAAATCCGTATAACATTTCTATAATATCTTTATGTTTCTTTTATTATGTGGATTATAAATTAAAAAATTGCTAGTTTAAAAACTGAAAAATTGCTAGTTTTAAGCTAGACACGCAAATGATCCCTTAAAATCATAGTTCGGAAACTAACCTATGTCCAACGAGTTTCAAGAAGCGGGTGTGAAGTGTAGGATATATGTTAAAAAAATGTATGACAAGTGTTTTAACTTAAAATATGTATTAAATAATTGGGTAGATGCCCAAATAAATATATGCATATATGCAAGGAGTGTCTAAGGAGTCTGGGTACGGATACAAGTATGTGTTAGGTACTGGTACAACATCCAGATGGAAGTACCCAGGTAAAATAGACGATAGCACATAAAGTAACGTTCTACCTTCTCTTAAAGGGTTAAGGGGGAAAATGCCCCAAAAACGTAATGCATAACATGAGTCATTTTGTTTATTAATTTACATATTTTATAAATATAAACTATTCATAATGACTTTAATAATTAGAATCATCAAAATTTTCAAACATGAAGAAGGATTGGAAGAGTTGTAGGAGGTGGGATTTAGAAGGTTTCATTTTCGTCGATATGAGATAAAATTTAGAAGTTGGAGAGGCGTTGGAGGTGAAGATGGGATTAGGATTTTTTTTTTTTTTTCATTGGCAAGAGGAGGTATAGGAGTCGAGGAGGAACCAACGAGGAGCCTTATCGTCGGTGGAGATAGAGGACAAGAAGAGCCTTGTCGTTAGCAAGATGCTTCGTCTTTGTCAAAGGCACTAGAGAAAGAAGAGATTGAGAGGTTTCTTTGTCAAAGGAGTAAGAGGAGGAAGGAGAGATGAGGGAGGCGTTGGAGATGAGATCGGGGGATCACTAGAGTTTTTCACGCGAATGGAATTGGGGTCAGGGAGTTTAATTAAGAACTAATTTTGGTTAGCTGATACTAATTTGAACGATGAAAATATTGCCACACGTCCAAATATGATCATCAATTTAACTCAATTAACAATTTTTTGACCTAATGTAACGCAAATAAATCACATTTTTTTGTTTTATTTTTTATGTTAAATGCGACATGAATTTTTTGCCTAAGTTTTATAACACAGACATTTCGGCTCTGTTAGGTGTTGAAACATGGGTTTCGATACGTTTTTTTTCCTACATTGGTATGTTCTAAATTTTTTTATAAAATAAAGCATTTAAAAGGCCCATTATTTACTGTAGATTCTTCCATTTGCATGACTTTTTCTTCCACTGGCATTTAATCAAACACTTGATGAGCTGCTCTTGTATCCTTTCTCAACTGTTCTTTTGTAATTTGTTCAAAACTTGAAGACGACAAAAAAGTGGTGAATCTCAGAACCTTGGACATATACGCAATTACTACATGTTTGACAAGAAATCTACTTTACCTCTGTATAAGAGATGAACAAGCGGTTACTGTCTTATGCACAATTGAGGATTCCAATCCTTTGATTCCTGGCATAATACTTGCTTAATAAAAAATAATGGAAATAGAGCAAACGGCTTCTCTTTTGCGTTACCAAGCCGAAATTTCTCTGGATTCGGCTTTATAAATAGTTCCCAACCCACCGAGCTATCATATAATAATACAATGAAAGTTGACAGAAGCTCCCCACAACTAACCAGCTACCATAGCATTGACCCAAATAGTGGACCAGTTTACGATATTACAATAAGCCACAAAATACCATATCAACATTGATTTCAATAGTCATAACAGAGAATATACAGTGAAGGGGAAATCCAGCATTCATGCTTAAAGATATAGACATATTATGTAAGTCGCTGAACATTATTTAAACTAAAATTTCATAAAAACTGGGACGATTATTCGACAAGCTAAAAATATAAATGACTAAAGTATGTTTTTTTTTTCTCAAAGGTAAAAGGGGAAAAAAAAATTGAGGTGCAAGATAGAAAGTTGAGAAAGGTTAATCTTCTCTCTTCTTCATAAACCACCTCTGTCTAGCACTCTCCAATGCCTCCTCCCGCTTTCTCAACAAGTCATTAAACCAGCGCTTATATTGAGCATCAATCATTTCAAGTTCTGCCTTCAATCCATCTTGATGTTTTTCTGAAAGAAGGAAATAATAATGAGCATCTTGACAAATTTGAAAGATTAGCATAATGTCCCAGACTAAAATTTTTACCATCCAAATTAAGGCCTTCAACGTTGCAGAAGTTCTCGTCCACTTTGAGACTAGCATAGTCAATAAGGCCAGAATCCACATCGGTTGCGGATCCACTTAAGCTTTTGTAACTTCCGGTCATAAGAAATGACATGGTAGATCCTTGAGAACACTTGTCTTCTCCATGTACATGACTGGAAACAGAATTAGAATCTTCATGCAAGCGACATTCATTCATCTTCTTGTACGGAGCGTCTTCAATTGATGTACTATATGCAATGGAACCAGCGTAGTTCAATACAGAAAGAACACTCTGTTCCACACCAGTCTCTGCAGGACTCGATGGACGTGAGTTCCAATCAGATCCAAATGAAAGTTGATTTTTTTCATATTCCTTGTAAAGGGTCATTGTTCCACTAGAAGTATAATCTGATGAAGATTTCCATCCAGGTACGAGCTTCATTATCAAATTATCAATGAAATCTGCTATAAACACTACATCATAATCAGAAAGTTCCAAGTGTTCCACCATTTCTCGAGCAACTGCAAGTGGTGTATCAGAATCTAAATAAAACAGAAAGTGAATATTTCTCACTGGACCTGCAAGTTAAAAAGAAAAGTAATTAGCATATACAAATTGATAAATTGGACTAGCTTATCTACTGAGTTTTACTTACACGAAGAATCAGCAATTCGCAGAACAAGTGAAACAGAATGGTCGCCATTTTTCTCCCCTTTCAGTCTAAATTCATTGGCTCCATTAGTTTTTTGAAATTCCAACACTTGTATATGAGGGTTCATAGTGCTATTATCAGAACCAATGCAGATGTCAAACATCTTACTATCTGAGTCAACCTCCATTGATGTCCTTTCCAATTTTGATTCATTTATCACATTCGGTGCAACATGGCATTGTTGGAAGTTACATTGTTGCACAAGATCATAATCGAGCACATTATTACATTGGAGAAAGGGATCTTTTAGAAGGTCTTTTGCAGGTAATCTCTCAGAAGCAGGAAGCAAACATTTTTCAATGAAATGCCTTACTTGGGGATCCGTAACTTTTGCAAGTGCTGCTGGCTTTATCCCCTGGAATAAATATTATACGAATAAACTATTTTATATGAATAATTGTATTTAAGCGTTGTAATCATCCTTCTAAACTACTTTGCACATGAATATAGAGAAGAGAAAAAAAAACTTACAGAAGTGACTTTCTTATAAATCTGAGCTGCATTTCTACATTCACTATATGGATATTCAAATGTGGCCATCTCTAACATGCACATCCCAAATGAATAAACATCAACTAGTTCATTGTATTCTTCCTCATAGAGCTCAGGTGCCATGAATTCAGGAGTACCTATTAATAACGACACAAAAAAAAATTATTCTAAAAGCATATGGCAATAAAATTTTCAAATAAAATGAGATCTTTTACCAATTACACTACGAGCAGTAGGTTGCTGCATAACAGTAGCCAGCCCCAAATCCCCAATTTTGACTTCTCCATGATTTCCATTGACAAATATATTGTCACATTTCAAATCTCTATGAAGAATAGGTGGATCATGGCTATGAAGATAGGCTAAACCTCGAAGAATTTGTCTGGCCCAGTTCTTTATTGCCTTTAGATCAACTTTTTTATGTTTCACACGATATCTACAGGCCAATAAAAATTTCAAAAGAATAATATAAACTTCAAAATTCCTGCAACTATATTTACACAAGATACAACATTACTGAAAAAGAACTTACTGCCTAAGACTTCCAGAAGTGAACAGCTCAGTGATAATATTGATAGTTTTACTCTGATCATCAACCCATGAATTGTAAAATTTCATTATGTTCTCATGCCTCACGGATTTCAGTAAATGAACTTCTGAATATAGCCTCTCAAGGTTCTCTGGAGAATGTAACACATCATCAATCCTCACTTGATTCCATGCAACTTCAATCCCGTCAATCTCATCAAATGCCTTGTAACTATATAATCAATTGATGTATTCAAGAGAGAAAATAATTCAGAAAACAAAAAATAGAAGTAGAAATGAAAGCAGAACAATAAAGAATATGAAAAAAATTTGTTTGATGACATACACCGTCTTGAAGGCCCCTTTGCCTAAAATCTCATCATACTGTAGACATTAAAGCAATAAGAGGAAGCATCAGCTAACTTATCAATAATTTTGCCTAAGATGAATATTAGCACTACAAACTCGTTAGATCAAAACAAGCTTTTCCATATGCAAAAAACAGTACTTAGTGAAAAACATAAACTGCATATAATTTGGTAGAAGAGAGTTCAAGTAATGATATGCAACTGAACATATGCAATAATTAAAAACCATCAACCTCGTCCCTGTTCATTGCTTCAGCATACAGAAAGTAATAAAAACAATAGACCAATCAACATATCAGAATTTACATTTTTAACTATAAAGATAATGTGGTCATATTAACTGTAAGTAATTTAGACATGCATTTCTTCAAGCAAATTATAATTGTTTTAAAGCCTAAATCAATGCCAAGAAACTAGTAAAGCAAAGATGCCAAGCGCCATTATATTAAAAGCAAAAGGAGCAACTCAAAATAACAATCAAACCATAATTCTACAAGTTTGTTGGGTGAATTCAAAAAAAATCCAAACTGCAATAAACCAAGCTTGAGAGCCTCAATTCGACATCCCGCTTAGGTTCTCAAATCAATAGTTTGGGCACTTTGAGATCAGAGGATTGGATTTTAGATACTACTGACTTCTAAAGAATAATTAAAATTATCTAGAAATAAAAAAAAAACATAATTGAAAACTTCGGTGTTTTTTACAAGACCAGAGAAGTATAGACTGCCCTAGAGTTGACGACTTCTTTTAATAAAATAGCTGACATTAATTCTATTGTATGGTCATTCAAGAAAGAGTGGAAAAATATATCATGAGGTAATTCTGCCTTCACAAAATCCCTCGAATCCTAGTGTACAGTCAATCAAGAAATACTGAAAGAAGGTACTTACATACGCATTCCAGATTATAGTGATACATTCCATTGACATGTAATGCATACACAATTAAAAATATGGAGTAGTATTTAAGGAAACGTCTTTCCTAGTTTGAGGTTCCAAACATATAAAGAAGCACATCCAAACACCATCTTGCATGGAAAAATACTAACATATAATAGTAGTTAAAAGACTGGCATCATAGGTAAGACTTTCATGCTTGAAATTTGAATCTTTACCCTTAGCGAAGATCAATTGTATCCCTTCATCTACTTTGTTCTTTTTCTCAGTGGTTTTTATTTACTTCTAATTTAATGAGAAAATTAAAAAAATACTCTTTTCTTCATGGGTATTCACTTTTCACTGTAGGCAAACGCCGTTATAGTTTGATTCCCTTGTTCCAGTATGCTGTAGATGAATAGATCCCTCACTCTCCCACCAAAAATAAAAACACACCAAAAACAAAAGAAAACAGTGACAATAATAAAACAAAAATAACCCCCTCACCACACACACAAAAAGAACAAAAGAAAACAAGACAAAGGGAAAGAAGACATAAAGATCAAAACAATTCAAACAGTTAAAAAAACTTTTTGCCAGCATACGAAATGAGAAGAACAAAGGTCATTACAATGATTCAATTACTTCAAAAAATTCATAACATTAAGAAATCTTCAAATTTGATGACCACTCAAGACTCAAAATATGATGATGTTAGCTGTTGATATAAGGGTAAAAGGGGAAGGAATAAGTGTTGGCCTTTTTGTTTTGATGATGTTTAACAAACAATTTACTACTAATATGGTTTGTCTAGTGTTTGTGTTTTCCTATTTATTGTAGACAAACAATAAGTTGGAGGTTGGATGGAATAGCACTTCAACGATTATATCCAATGGAGGTTGGCGGAATAGTGGTTGAAGCTTATGCAATTCAAGTTGAAGATCCAAGTTCAAGCTTCATCCGCAAAGTATACCAAGCTGAGCTACATCGAAGATCAAGATTACTTGGGTAATTTAGTTTTAGGTTTATATTATGTGTGTTAGATACTTTAAGCTCAATATCATATACACACACGTATTTGTTTCATATATATATATATATATATATATAAATATATATTATATATATATATATTCTATATATATATATATATCATGAGTTAAGGTTATCCTTGCTCATAGCGAGGATTTTCCTCCTTTGACGCCTCTAAAAATGCGCCTCTTAAAATCACATGATGCCAGCGACGATCTGTTGGGATGATCCGCTCCGCTTACGAACTTGATCTACATATTCTTAAAACCCCAACACACCAAGTTTGTCGGCGTGAATCCGTCGTGCGTTGACCCTTCATGCCACTCGTATATGCAAGTTTTAACGGTTTTGAATGAATAGCAACTCTTTCACATGGCCTCGATGGCATGCGTCAAACGACGACGGATTCACCCCAAACTTGCAGTGTGTTGGGGTTTAGAATATGCTGAATCAAGTTCAAACGGAGCGATCATCCATAATGTCCGCTTAATCATGTGATTTTAGAAGCCGTTTTTCAAGGAGGAAATCCCTCTTATGACAAGGCATACCCATAACTCTACTATATATATATATATATATATATATATATATATATATATATATATATATATACACACACACACACACACACACACAAAAGTTTTGGTTTTTGATTTTCAAGTTTATATAAAAATGAATTTTGTGAAAATATTGTATTCTTAGTTTTTAGACTTAACAATAACTATATACATATTTCATTAAGTCTATAAAATCATTTTATAAAGTTTCAAAACATGGTTTAGTTAAAATGACAAAAAAACAAGTGTTGTATTTTCATGTTTTGGACTATTTTGTAAAATAATAATATTTTACAAATGTGAAGCGCAATTCTAAAAATTCTTTTTGTAACATGTTTATAAACATTTCCCAAAGTCTTATATTTTTTTAGAATTTATTTGCTATTTTTAAAAACACTTTAAAAATCAATTTTACTATTCAAATAAGGCTGATACAGTTATCAATCGGCTGAAGAAATCGTCTGGAATGTCAAAAAGTTTCTGTTTTGTTTCGGTCGACTGAACAGTCGACTGATGAGGTCATTGGTCGATTGACGAGTTCATCAGTCGACTGATGATGTGTTGCTGGCCTGCAACGATCAGCTCATTAGTCGACTGATGAATAGTATCAGTCGACTGACGGCCCAACGATTGGTTTTTTCATCTTTCTGTTTTTTTATCTTTTTGCTGGTTTTCTCTTGGCTTTGGGGTTTTCCTATAAATACCTCCACATATCCTCAGTTCATTTTTAACAAGAGAAAAGTTTTAAACAAGTTTAAGGATATTTAAGTTTGGTTTAAGTTTATTTTAAAAGAGTTTGTTTGTGAAGAGATTTTCACAAGAGGAAGAAGAGATCATCCTTTGGTGTTTGAGCTTCAACTCATCTCTCTCTTGATCTATAGAGAAGTTTTTCTAAAATCTATTTCTAGCTATTTATTATTTTGTTCATAATTTTCATAAGCTAGAATTTTATTTGAGTTTAGTTTGTTTTGATTATACTCTTTGTTCACACACAACCTATTGAGCTTATTGTATTTCATACATAGTATAATTTGGATTATAGGGAGTGTGATTTAGAGAGTGAGCCTACATTGTGTTCTCATCCGAGAACAAATTTATTTGTATTGTGAGCCTAATTGTGTTGAACACTTTGTAATACATTTGTACACAGAGAGAAGTGTGTGGCGAGAGACGGGATCGTCCCAAGAGGAGTGGGGTAAGTGATAATGCCTAAAGGTAGATTATAATTCCTAACACTTGAGAGAGAGACAAGCTATAGACCAACACGGGTGTAAAGTGGGATTACAAGAGTGTGAGATTATAAAGTTTTCGGTGAACTAGAAACCGAGTGTGAGGTGTAAACGTTATACGGATAAGCATAGAAAATCCGGTTGTGATAGTGGAGATCTCCTCGAGGTGAGGAGCGGAGACGTAGGTTGTGAGGACCGAACTCCGTGATCATATCATTTGTTTGCGTTTGTCATTGGCGTTCCTTTATGTTCGTGCTTATCATTTATATCGCCGTTGTCAATTGCTTGTTTGTTTACCCTTGTGTTACTTGTATATCCTTGCACATATATCTTATTGCATATCATTCTTGCTAGGATATTTATCAATTAGTTTTAATTTAGCATAAATCGGATTAGATTAGCATAAACCCTATTCCCCCCCCCTCTAGGGTTATTTCCTAGTGGCATTAGAGTGCTTTCAATAAGGACATGCAGGACTTGACTCCTTTAGCTTTGAATCAAAAAGCGAATCAGACCAATTTCTAGGGAAGTAAAAAAAATTAGAAGACTGAAATTAAACAGAATAACCAATATCAGCAAGCATTGTGAACCCAGATTTTTTTTTAAAGAAATATTTTCACCAGCAAATACTAACCCTTAGAAACCTAATGATGTTCACACTGTTATCCTCACTATCTGCTTGGTGCCATAATGCCATTAATATCAACGTGGCATTTTTTTAGTGAGAAAGGTCAAAGATCACAGCATGATACCACATGCAACCTAGTTGTTAGAAAACCAGATATTAAAAGGAATAATAAATCAAAAGAACACAAACTACGTCGAATCCATCTAATAAGAACCCTGATCACTAGAAATCACTAAACTGAAAGCATTCTAAATTGCAGGTCATGCAAAGTGATCAATTGATAAAAAAAATATTAAAAATAGCAACATAATAAGCACATAAGTACGCTTCCTAATTAAAGCAAACGTTTTTTTACAAAAATAAAAAACAAATGTCAAAGATGCAGGAAAAAACATATGACATAACTCAATTAACATAACAGTTATTTACTAAAAATGTTATGACTAATAATTACAACTCCATAAAAAATCAGATGTAATTTACATGCAACGTGCCAATATTATCAAAATTTTCATAGACTTTCATCATTTTATTAAATCTCAAAATTAAATAGAAAAATAAAAAAATTACCCGGATGTATCGCCCAGTTGGATCCATCTCAGCATACTCCACATCCCCACGACCATCAACCTGATGCCCGTTCTTTATCGGATCCATAACTCAAGATCCGAAACCCAATCACCAAGCTGGATTTTTTTCCCCTTTTGTTTATACAGATAAAACTAAAATAAAAAATTCAGAAAAAAAGGAGGAGGAGGAGCCAGAGGAGAGAACCAACGAAGTAGCAGAAAAGCAGCAGGGCCCAATTTCAACCCTACCAGATTCGGACCCAGATCCGAACCCGATAAGAGGAGCAATTTCCTTCAGAGAACGACTCAGAAGCAGCAGAGAATGAATCGAATGCCTCCGATCTCATGCGGATTCGGCATCCGATGACCGATTGCGAGCCCCCATCCATCATCCGATTCGTCCCCAATCTCCCGATCCGATCTTGCTCCCGCCACCGCCCCCTCATTCTCCCGCCAAATCCAATCCCTCGACAATAAAATACTCCATCGATTCAATCAACCGGAATCAAATTTGATTGGAAATCAAAAGGGGAGGGGGGTCGTAGAGCTCGGGATGATGAACAACCCCGAGCCCTAAAAAATGAAGAAAAGAAACATGAGATCGGCAATTGGAAACGCAAATAGATAGAGGATTGGAAAAGGGAAAAGAGGATCGATTTCTATTTTTTATCGAGGATCAAAACCCTAGCCCTAATAGAGAGCGAGAGAGAGGGAGATAACGAACAGGTGTTCGGTGAGAGGATGGAAAGAAATGAAAAGAAAAAAGATCGGATTTTTTACCCCCTTTTGGAAAGCGACACCCGGTTTTCCTTTTCGTTTAAGGAGACGTGAGGCTGGGACTTGACTTTGGGACCTGGGATTGCAATGAGACTGGGTCCTTTTCTGGGGCTGAATTTGATGATTTCTTTGACAGGACAAAAGAGGTGGGACTTTAATGTTGGGGGCAATGAATCTTAGGAAAGTACCATAATGAGGTACATGTGAATGTTTTGGGCATTTTGTTGGTCTGTTTGTTTATTTCTGGAATATAATTCCAAGAGCCTAGCTAGCTTTTTTTTTTTAAGTAGGAATTATTCGGCAAGCTCTTATTCTGGCAAAATTTTAAAGAAAAAATGTGTCCAGACCCAAAAACAGAAACTTTATGTGTTGTAGCCCCTCCTAGTTTACCCTATGTGGTTCAGCCCCTTGAAGTGTGACATTTTGTACTGCAGCCCCTTTTTAATAATTATTATATGTCAGCTAAGCTAAAATCCCCAAAATAACATTATCCCCTCTCCTCAATCTTTCAAACTCAGTTCTCTCTCTCTCTCTCTCTCTGTCGCCACCTCCGCCCAGGCACCCAAGCCTCCCCCGAGTTCGCCTCCCCTCCTCTCCTCCGCCCGACCTCGTCGCGGTAGCTCGCCGTCGCTCCCCGTCTCGCCCTCGACCGCGCGGGCCCCCCCCCCCCCCCCTGCCACTTTTGAACCCTATAGTATGGTAGGCCGGAGGAGGATGACCAAGAGAAAAGAGTGCATGATGCCCAAGAAAAGTGAAAATGAAGGGGCTGCAGGCACAAGGCCACTCTTTTTTTTTTGGAATTTAATGAGAAGCCGCTGCTTGTTAAGGAGATTGTTAGTCAAGATGGCGAATAGATGCCTGTTAGGTTTGAAATTTTAAGAGCTGATCTTGGTGCTGGAGCTGAGGAAGGAGATGGCGAAGCTTTTTTTGATAAATTTGATGTTGGTATAAAATAGAACTAACGTGGTATAAATTAGAACTAACATGGTATAGAATAGAACTAACACTGTGCAGATTAGAACTAACACGCTACAGAATAGAACTAACACTGTGCAGATTAGAACTAACACGCTACAGAATAGAACTAACACTGTGTAGATTAGAACTAACACGCTACAGAATAGAACTAACACTGTGTAGATTAGAACTAACACGCTACAGGATAGAACTAACACTGTGTAGATTAGAACTAACACGCTATAGAATAGAACTAACACTGTGTAGATTAGAACTAACACGCTACAGAATAGAACTAATACTGTGTAGATTAGAACTAACACGCTACAGAGTTAGTTCTATTTTTATACTAAGTTAGTTCTATTTTATACCACGTTAGTTCCATTTTATACCAAGTTAGTTCTATTTTATACTAAGTTAGTTTTATGTTATAACAAGTTAGTTCTAATTTTAACCCCATTAGTTCTAATTTTAACCACTCTCTGTGCGCCTCTCTCATTTGGGTACCGTGGGCTCCAACCAAACAAGTACCTAACAACAAATAATTACAACAAATCACAAGATTGTGATAGTTACGGAATGGCACAAGAAAGCTTTCTGCAGATGCTGCAAACTCCCAAATGCGCATTATGCATTGATTAGTGAATTAATTATCGAAAGAATATGGTGATTTCAGTGATCATGTCGACGTTGTTAACAACACGACAAGGATTTGCAAGGAGCGAAGAGAGGAACATGAGAGAGGCGCACGGAGAGTGGTTAAAATTAGAACTAATGGGGTTGCAAATTAGAACTAACTTGTTATAACATAAAACTAACTTAGTATAAAATAGAACTAACTTGGTATAAAATGGAACTAACGTGGTATAAAATAGAACTAACTTGGTATAAATTAGAACTAACGCGGTATAAAATAGAACTAACGTGGTATAAATTAGAACTAACATGGTATAGAATAGAACTAACACTGTGCTGATTAGAACTAACACGCTACAGAATAGAACTAACACTGTGTAGATTAGAACTAACACGCTACAGAATAGAACTAACACTGTGTAGATTAGAACTAACACGCTACAGAATAGAACTAACACTGTGTAGATTAGAACTAACACGCTACAGAATAGAACTAACACTGTGTAGATTAGAACTAACACGCTACAGAATAGAACTAACACTGTGTAGATTAGAACTAACACGCTACAGAATAGAACTAACACTGTGTAGATTAGAACTAACACGCTACAGAATAGAACTAACACTGTGTAGATTAGAACTAACACGCTACAGAATAGAACTAACACTGTGTAGATTAGAACTAACACGCTACAGAATAGAACTAACACTGTGTAGATTAAAACTAACACGCTATAGAATAGAACTAACACTGTGTAGATTAGAACTAACACGCTACAGAATAGAACTAACACTGTGTAGATTAGAACTAACACGCTACAGAATAGAACTAACACTGTGTAGATTAGAACTAACACGCTACAGAGTTAGTTCTATTTTTATACTAAGTTAGTTCTATTTTATACCACGTTAGTTCTATTTTATACCAATCTATTTTATACTAAGTTAGTTTTATGTTATAACAAGTTAGTTCTAATTTTAACCCTATTAGTTCTAATTTTAACCACTCTCCGTGCGCCTCTCTCATTTGGGTACCGTGGGCTCCAACCAAACAAGTACCTAACAACAAATAATTACAACAAATCACAGGATTGTGATAGTTACGGAATGGCACAAGAAAGCTTTCTGCAGATGCTGCAAACTCCCAAATGCGTATTATGTATTGATTAGTGAATTAATTATCGAAAGAATATGGTGATTTTAGTGATCGTGTCGACATTGTTAACAACACGGCAAGCATTTGCAAGGAGCGAAGAGAGGAACAGCCGTGATACAGCAGGATTTGGGCGTCGGTTTTTGGAATAATGCTGCACTAATTCTGAAAAGCATATAAAATAAAAATGCTAAATCTAAATTAGTATGTGATCATGGAACAGGAAAGACAAAAAAATCAGTGGGTAGAGAATGAGAGCATTTGTGGTATGAATTTAGTCCCAGAACCATCGGTTTGGATACCTATTATACGGGTTATGGAGCCAACTTATATGCAAATCAAACTAAAAAAGACAGCTATCAAGATTGTTTAATCTATGACATTACTCACGGGAACTTATATGCAAATCAAATTATTTAATATCAAGATTGTTTAATCTATGACATTACTCACGGGAACTTATATGCAAATCAAATTATTTAAGTGTTTTGCTTCCTTGAGGACATCGCACGCGGCATTTCACGGCTTGAGCACGACTCTAGCTTTCTAATTAGTTCTAACTCATGTTAGGTCTAACTAGGTTTATGTTAGTTCTAACTCAGTTCCTGTTAGTTCTAACTCAGTTTTTGTTAGTTCTAAATTAGAACACTAACTATTTAGAGCTAACATGAACTGAGTTAGAACTAACACGAACACGAAATCCAAGCGAAGATAAGAATACCAACATCAAATTTTAGCATCAAATTCCTGCAAGTTAAGGCATTCAACATTTATTCAGGGAGAATACTCCATGACAAAATTCAAGCAAAGATAAGAATACCAACATCAAATTTATCAAAAAAAGCTTCGCCATCTCCTTCCTCAGCTCCAGCACCAAGATCAGCTCTTAAAATTTCAAACCCAACAGGCATCTCTTCGCCATCTTGACTAACAATCTCCTTAACAAGCAGTGGCTTCTCATTAAATTCCAAAAAAAAAGAGTGGCCTTGTGCCTGCAGCCCCTTCATTTTCACTTTTCTTGGGCATCATGCACTCTTTTCTCTTGGTCATCCTCCTCCGGTCTACCATACTATAGGGTTCAAAAGTGGCAGGTGCAGCGGGCGACGAGCTTGAGAAAGCCCTTGGTTTTAGAGAGGGGGGGGAGAGAGAGAGAGAGAGAGAGAGAGAGAGAGAGAGAGAGAGAGAGAGAGAGAGAGAGAGAACTGGGTTTGAAGGATTGAGGAGAAGGGATAAGGTTATTTTGGAGATTTTAGCTTAGCTGACATATAATAATTGCTAAAAAGGGGCTGCAGCACAAAATGTCACACTTCAAGGGGCTGAACCACATGGGGTAAACTAGGAGGGGCTGCAGCACATGAAGTTTCTGTTTTGGGGGCCTAGACACATTTTTCCCAAATTTTAATGTAGTATATTTTAATAAATTAAAAGTTTTCTAACATATCATTTGAGCTATATCAATAGCTAATGTGTACCTTAATGCACAAATTGCACAAAGCTCTGAGATAAGCTTATGAATTACCCTTTTTTCAACTATTAAACTATATTTAAAATTGTCTTTAGGCATATGTATTTAATACTCAGAATTTAATATTTTGAATATATTGTAGATAACATATATAAAGATGATTTAATGCCATCTTCTTTTAAAAGAGAGCTTTGCTACAGGGATCCAAAATATGAGACCAATAGGGGGGACAAGTGAGTTGTCCCCCTCCTATTGGATAATGAGTTGGCCATCATTAATGACGATCAACTCATTATCCAATAGGAGGGGGACACCTCACTTGTCCCTTCTATTGGTCCCATATTTTGGGTCATTGGAGAATTTTTCTTTAAAAGAAAAGGAGAATGTTTTGAAAAGGACATAAGATCATTTATTTGTTTGATCATGCTGGTTAGGGGCTGTTTGGTTGTATGTTTTTACCATGTAAAAGGATGGAAAGTGTAAAAAAGTGGGTCCCAATATCAGCTTTCATCACTTTCACTTGTTTGTTTGTAGTTGTGAAAATAGTGTAAAGTGATTTCATATGCTGATGTGGCTTGTAAAGTGATTTCATAAAAAAAATCATGATTTTAGAAGAAAGCTGACATTAAAGTTAGGAAAAAATAATAAAAAATAATTCCAACCAATATGATCATTTGAGTATGGACCACTTTTTATACTTTCCAAACAAACAATTAAAGTTACATTTGCAAACCAAACAAGCAATTTATGATTCCAATGGAATAAAAAA